GGGAGGGTGTTGGGGATGCGGTCCTTCCTTATTCCAACCGTCATGTTTAAAAGATGCGGAGACGATCGGTAAAGTCCATGAAATGATTTGGAAAAGTATCAACAAAGGTCCCACCTGTTTTGGAACATACAAACCCGTGGCGGCAAGGTTGGTTCGAAATATCCAATTTGCAGGACTCTCACCGACTCGTTTGCAGCTGTATCATCTTTTCTGTATTTTCGTCTACGACGCGCAAACTCCCGCGTGCAGTAGAAGTACACTCGACTCATGACATGACAAGAATGGTCAACGGAAATGGCATTTGTTCCAATAATTATTGACGATCGTATGAGAAAATGAAGATCGACGTCAAGGATTGGCTGAGCTCGAGAAAGGCCTTTCCCTTCATGATTCCCAATCGCATAGGATCCTGATGGCGAATGCCACATATTCTTGTTTTCAACGTTTTAAATAACTACATAGTAGTGTGTGTTACACAAGATCGTGCACTTCCTGTTTCTGGTTGCTAAGCAGCTTTGACTCTCTCCTTGTCTCTCTCTCTCATGAAACAAAAATTTTAACAAATTAAATTAAAATATTTTAATGCTTTATTTTAAAGCCAAAGGGAAAATTAGCCACTTATAGAAAGTTGCATGGCTTTCTGGGCTTCTCATTGTAGTCAACGGCTCGAAGTTGTTCGGAGGCCGAGTCAATTGCTTACGCCTTTTTTTAATAGTGGGTACTTTTTGATTGAATGTCGATTCAATTGCACCTGCCACGAAAAATTTACATTATGGTAAAGAGGCTTTCACAGGGACCAGCAGGCCTTATCCGGCGAGTACGCAGCATCGATGGTCATATGAGTCACGTCATACGGCTAGCTTCATGGAAAGCACTGTGTAGGCCTTAGCATGCTAGAATGTGCTTAACTTGAGCCAAGATCTGTTTCCACATCTTCCATCCTATCAATGCATAAATTTCAACCTTATAGACCCCAACAGAAAATATGCTGAGAGGTGTTTGACTCGATTCAACAGGAGTTACGTAACAGACGGGAGAATGGGGGCATGAACGCCACGCAACCGCATTTTATAAGGTAAAAAAGAAAATTCCAATACATGCAAGAGAAGAACCAAAGCGTTAATTTAATAGAAAGAAGAGAACTTAGACTTTTTTGAATCACTATGTTTCCATTTGCGCTTTTTAAGGTCTCTTACATGCATTCTACTCCGTATTGTGAGTCACGTGACTACATTGACACATTATTGAAGAAAAATACGAGGTTGCAACAAATCTACCAAATCAAACATTAAAAGAAAAAATGAGCTGATTTTTTTTTAAATTCTCTGCATAGATTTGTCGTATTGTGACTTTTGGGTTAATATTCATTTAGGTTAAGCTTCCAGCTATATGAAATTTCATCATCAAAATAAATATAGAACCTAAATCTTGATGAAATATTTGTATACTTAAAGGTGATCAAAAAATGAAATCATGAATATGTGAAATTTGAAATTAATATCAACTATACTATATACTTAATATTTTGAAACATTCAATAATTTTATGAGAAATAAAATCATGATAAGTCTATATTCATTCCTCCTTTAAAGCTTCATAGTTTAGTACTTGGTATTTTGTGACTATCCTTGGACTCCATAAGATTTTTTTCTTTGTATTTCTTCATGATAAGATTCAACTCCAAGGTTGTATATATTAGGATTGATACTGAATTAATTTTTCCTTCCATCAAAAGTTCAAATTGGATATGTTTCAAAGTTCAAATCCTCCGTGACATTGATGCAGAGTAACAAAACTTAAACTTTGAAGAATTGGACTCTGATGCACATGATATTTAACCAGCTCAATGTCAGATATTAATCCTTCTATTTTTGAAATTGACTACAAAAGTTATTCATGAAATATACACAACAGATAGGAAATTATTGGTTTTCTTTAAGAATGTAAAGAAGATCACAATACATATATCATTCTTGCACTCACTTTGTTCTTGAAGAAGTACCAACAACAAAAATCATATCTAAAGTTATCTTAAGGCTTCCTGAAACAGTGTGCATCTCTAATTTACTTACCTGTCCATCATTAGTTGGAGGCCTTTGTTTACAACAAAACTTCTAAGTCTTCTTTTCAAATTTTTTCCTCTCGGCGACTTAAAGCTCCAAAACATTTTCAATTAGGTTAGAACAGATTAAATATTCACTATGGGTTGCAATTTACCTTTACTCGGCCTCTATGTATGGTGCAACAACTTAGCTGGAATTGAGGAGCATGGCTCAGAGAATTATCACAGCGATCCAAACGAAACATACGGAATGAAGAAGAACTCTTTGTGAGATACACCTCCCCGTCTCACATTCATGTCATGGAACATTATATTTTCCACCGAATTATGAAGCCAAATATGAAGGAGCTCTTGACCGTCACCGAGCGAGCAATCTTGTTGTCCTAAAGAACATCGGACTCAAGTAACCTCCTTATAGTAGACCATAAGTCAAACCATGCCGCATGACGATAGGAATGGCACTTTTGTCCCGCCCATGAGGCGAAAAGAAGTATGCCGGTTCACCAACTTCAGAGGCCTTGCTTAGAAGGAGCAATATTAATTCTTTGGATATTTTCGAATCTAATAAAGTGGGATTAGGTGTGCATTCTCCAGAGTTAGTTATGAGGAAGAGTTGAACTTCGGGAGGAGGATATACTGTGCCTGGCGAGCTCCACCAGAACGCGCTGTCGACGGAGAATATTCTCTACTCACCTGAAGTAGAGCGGTTACTGTCACAGGAGTGACCGGTACTGCAGAGGGTCTGAGGGCGTGCAGCGGGTGGCTCGGAGATTGGCCAGAAAGCGGGGGACGAGCGAGCGGCCGGCCCGAAAAGTTGAGATTCGGAATTTAACGAACAGACGGAAGGAACAGAGAGATCTCGTTCACTGTCATACGACGAGGAGAATGAAAACCCAATTGGCTCATGATCGTCATCCGTCGAACCAACACGATCCGCTTCGAGTCACCGACGGATGGCAGGCAGGCAGGCAGGCTTGCAGGCAGATCCGATATCTCATTATGAGAATATGATTGCAGCAACACAGCCATCGGGCTGAACGGCTGCGCGTGATCTCGAGACGGGACGAGAGTAGGAAGTGCGGGCACGAGAGACTCTGGAAGTGACCGCGTTCTCGAGCCGAGCTATGAGTCGGACTTTCGTCTGCCTCGCTCGATCGCTGGCTGGGGGCGAGCTCAGCTCTTCTCTTCATTTTCCTCTGCTTCTTTTCTTCCCCCACCCGCACCCCACCACATCATGTGTTTCTTACGATCATGGAGGAAGGGGTCTGAGACAGCATTTTCCACGTGGATGGAAGGATCGCTGGCACGAAGGCCCCGTCGTCGTGTACAAGGAAGACGATGAGGAGCAGTGGAGCACTCATCCCCTACGGACTCTTCTCGAGCTTCGACTGCTTGCCGGGAACACTCTCGATTAGCTTTCGGGCGTTCGACGCGAGTCCTGTGACCCGCGTAGGCTGTCAATCGAGTCTCGGCGGATTCTTCCTACGTGAAATTAGGGTAAGACGGGATTGTTTGGAAGATTCTGCGCGAGCGACGGGGAGAGCTCCTGTGCGCCCCAAGTCGAGGAAGAAGTCAAAACAGCTCACGTTTGCCAACATGCAATGCCACCAACTTGGTTCGCTCTCTTCACAACGCATCGCGGACGACCCGCGCCTCGCCTCTCCTCGGTCAACAAAGCAGCGAAACAAAGATGAGACCCTTGGAAAATGTCAAGCTCGCGCTAAAGACAATCGCGTGCACGACGTGAGGCCAGTAAATTTTCCCCGCATCGATCGCGCGATAAAGGTGAAACATCGCAGCAGCAGCAGAAGAGGGGGGATGACTCCCGCCCAGCCCTCCCACCTCCCACAGATAATCCACCTCCCACCGCAACAACGCTGGTCGACCGACGAGCTCCACACGAGAACGGGGAGGTGAATCCACGGCCCTAAACAACAACAGACAAGCTTCGTGGGCGAGAAACTCCACTTTCCCTAACTAACAGAACCCAGGATGCCACCCAATGGCTCCTCAGCACCCCGTCCTCAGTACAGCTCTTGGCCCTCGTTGTCCCCACCTTCGCCCACTCCACTGTCACTTGCCAGCGACAGCAATGCCCGATTCTTGTCCATTAAAAGCATGGGCAGTACGGATGAATCTGCTCGTATGTAGTTCGGTTCGGTTGCTGTTGAGAGAAGCAGCTTAACTCTCCCTCAACAGCTTCCTGGACCTGGAAAATATAAACAAATTCCAGGTAGAGCGATGCTGCTGCTGCTGCTCCCTGCTCCTGGTCGTCCTTCGGGCAGACCACCTTGCAGTGTACTTGTTCTGTGGACACTCGTGCTGTCTGCCAGCGCACTGGCTCGGCCCTCCCTCTTGCGATGTTCGTGCTTCCGCCTCTGGCTTACTGCGTCCTGAGGTTACAGTGGCTGGTGACCCTCGGTCTACACGGACTTCCCCCTGTTTCCTCCGGGCAGGTGCCCTTCAGCCTCTGATAAGGCCCCTGTGCGTCAAAAGAAGGCAGTGCTGTGCGTCTACAGTCATCGGATAACAATCTCCTGGCCCTTTAAGGTAACCCTCTTGGGCCTCCGATTCTCCCGAACCGCATCCTCGTAGTCGGAGCTCTCGATCTCGTGAGTTCTGGGTCGACTGTCGTCGAGTTGCAGTCGCCGTCGCTCGCTGCCTCCCCGACGGACCTGCATCGCTACACATTCTGTCCATGTATTCTTCCTCTGAAGTACCGGGCTTTTAGAGAAATTCCCGATTGGAATTGGAACATCGAGGTGACGATTGTATAAATCCCGGTGAACATCTGGATTTTCGGTGCAATTGAGATTCCGAATGGATGAAACCAGTCCTCACTTGAACTGGATCTAGCTCAGGTTGTGGGCGCCGTGCTGCGTTTGAACCGAAGTTCGAGGCAATGAGAAGAGATTTCAGGCAACACTAAAATTGAGCTGTGGGCGAGGCGTGTTTGAAAAGCTTCCCGTGAAATGGCGAGGCACATATTATTAAGAGAATTGGAACTTATGATAGTCCTGACAGCTTTACACTGAGGCGTCAGACGCGACGATCTCCATGAAACTTTGTACAACTCGTGAAGTCAAACTGTGGGGTTGACCTCAGGCATGAATTCTCCACTAATTTTTGGACCTAAACGAACTAACCCCCCTAGGGCCGAAATCCCGATCGCGCCCGAAACGAAAACCTCCCATCGATTGAAATGGTGAATTCATTATCACTGCGCTAGTCGGTTTTGCAAATGTTGTTGGTTCTGTGGATTCGGGACGCACGACTTTTGATGCTCCAAGCGACGATGCGACGTCGCCTTCGAGAATTTCCAGTAGTCCCACCTTCCCCACGGCTGCCTGGCTGCCAGTACAGAGGCCTTCTACAGCAGTACGAGCCAATCGGTGCTGCGAACGGGGTTCCGGTGCATCATCCGCTCCACGCCCTCAAAAGAAGGGACACGGTCCTAACATCTATGTGCATATTTATAGTGGATCCTCTCTACGAATGAATCGATTCGAAAGCGTTACCGAGCTCGAGCCCTGTCGACGACGATGATCGATCGATCGAAGAATCTGGCTCCGTGCGCTCACAACTCGTCGTGGTTCTCTTCCGTGGCAGGAGCTGCGGCGGCGGCCTTCCACACGGTCCTCCAGTGGCTCAAGGACTTGTCGAATAGAGAGTTGGCATTGTCGTAATTGAACAGGTGCTTCGTCTCGCTGGGCAGTCCCTGGTACTGGTCCAATTGGCTGGTGGCGATCTTGATGCCGAAGGTCGGGGCGAAAGGGAAGTCGGAGCCGAAGGTGATGTGCGAGTGCGGCACGAACTGCGTGGTGCTGGGAAGAGCGGACGGGCTGGACGACAGAGCGGTGTCGACGTAGAAGCTCTTCAGAAGTCCCATGGTCTTCATGGCGTTCTCCTTGGTGAGGAAGCTCAGAGCACCTCCCATGCGGTACGCGGCGAAAGGCATGAATCCTCCGGAATGCGACAGGATGAACCTGATGTTGGGGTAGCGGCCGGTGACGTTCTTGAAGATGAGATTGGCGCAGGCGCGAGTGGTGTCCAGAAGGAAATCCATCACGAATTCCGGGACCATGCTATCCTCGATGTGGTCGGGAACTGTCCAAACACAAACAACCAAATCGACAGCCGTCAGCACCAAATCTATCCAACGAAATCCTCGCTCTCGATTTCACCCGTGAATCTTGCACTCGAACGAGTTACGTGATCCGAAATTCCACCGTCCAGTACAGAGACCGGGATCCGACCGCGGAAATCAGATCTACGGACAAAATTGGCGACTACCTTTCGAGGCAGCGGCCCAGCCTCGTCACGAAGAGAATTCATTCGCTGCAATCGATGCTAAAGCGGAACGGGGGCGAGGGAGAACGATACCTTTAGCGAAGGGCACGCTGTTGGGGTGAACGAAGACGACGGCGTGACGCTCGTTGAGGACCTCCATCAGGGGATCGAACTTCTTGCTGCCCAAGTACTCGCCCTCGGAGTTGGCCAGGAGCACCACACCGGCGGCCTTGAGCGTGTCCAGAGCGTAGATTGCCTCCTGCACGGAGCCTTCGACGTCGGGAAGCGTGACAGTGGCCCAGAACTGGAAGCGGCCCGGGTACTCGACAGTCACCTTGTGCCCGTACTCGTTGAGCTCGCGGGCGAGCTTGCGGCCGGCCTCCATGTCGTCGCCTGGCAGCCGAGCGCCGGGCGTGGAGATGGAGATGATGGCCGTCTCCACTCCGATGGTGTCCATCAGCTCGATATGGCTCTCGGGGGTCCATTTGGGGATTGCTCTACCGCCCGAGTCCAGGCCCTTGCTTTTCAAGATTTCTGCGTAGAATTCGGGAATGAAGTGCGTGTGCGTGTCGATCCTCTTGGTGCCCGGCGGAAGGACGAATGCTGGCCCCGCGGCTCCGTAGGTGGCCTGCTCCGATGGAGCGCTGGCAGCGAAAGGAATCACCAGGCACGCCAATCCCACGACCAACAGCACGCCATGCGCAGCAGCATGGCGCCAGGCCCCGATCCCCTCGCCCAGAGCCATCGATCCCGTCGTTCTAGTACCTCTTCTAGCTCGTTGAATTGCAGGCCCAACCGATCGTCGTGTGGGTCGAGCTGCGGCGCCTGCCGATCAGATTGTCTCAGATGTGCTTTCGGAACTATAAGCAACCGTTTTCTCGGTTAGAAAATAATAATTGCTCTGGGATTTTCTCCAATTCGTCGGGTCTGCTGGGGATCTTTATGTTTCTGTACTCACAGCTTCGAGAACGCAGATGGTTGCCCCTGATTCTGTCGGCGGTTCCTGGGCTGTAGATGTCTAGGCGCTGCTAGCGAGCCTGCCTGCCTGCCTGCCTGCCTGCCTGCCTGCCTGCCTGCTTTCTTGCTTGCTTGCTTGCTGCAAGCAGCATGGAGGGAAGGAGGAAGGTTGACCAGCTCGATCAGGTGATCTGCCAGATTCTGCCCCCTAAGCCTTACGTGATCGTACCTTCAGATCGGAGGTGTCGGTGTGAGAAAGAGGCGAGGACTGCAGAATGGAGCGAGAAAACAATCAACAAAATATGCAAGTTTTGTTTGCTGATGTCCTCTCCTCGTCCGTCTCGACAACACCTCCGCACTCTGAATCGTCTGGCTCGGTGGTGGTGCAGTGGATGGGCCAATGCCGGGCTTTATACGAGTACGATGGATGCTCTGCACAGCATCGGCAGCGAAGGCCGAATCTCGCTTATTCAAAGGGATGCCGGCGTCACGTCCAGCTGTACACTCGACTCGCTCACTCGTCGCTGCTGCTGGTGCTGCTGGTGCTCCCGCTCGTCCCCGCAAGACTGTTGTGTCGGGACGGGCCGATCGTGCCTACGCATAAACTAATCACTCGATTGATGCTTGCCCCAGAACCCGGACTCAGCCGCTTCTTATGAGCGCGAGCTAGGGAGCGAGCGAGCGAGCAGCCGGGCCCGCCGTTGAATCTCCCCATGCTCTGCTGAACAACACACCGGCTTCGCGACGAGGTGCGACTCGAGCTCGAGTCCACACGTCCTCCGGCCAGTGTATCACATCGCCTCACGCCTATTCTCGGCTCGCCCCGACTCGGTCTCCGTCCACGCTCTGGCCCGAGAGCATTCCCAGCCATCGTTAGCCAGGCCAGGCCGAATCCGACGAGTCCCGCCTCACTCATGTTTTGCAGCCTACCCAGCTAGGAGGCTCTCACTCGCTCCAACACTCCAACCCGGAATCTAGCTCTGGAAGAACATGCCTTCCGCACACAGGTCGAGACTCGAACGCCTGGCGCGTGCGTGAGTGCCATTATTAGCCCAATATTGTTTTCCTTCGCCCTTCGATTCCCCAGACATCCCCCTGCTCCTGCTTCTTCTTCCTCGGTCCTGTATTATCACAGCGGTAAACCCATCCCTTCCGCATGAGTTTTATCCCATTGTCTTTCCCGGAATTGCCTCCACACTCGTAGAATCGTAGAATCATTGATTCATAGAATAATTCAATCTACCAACACCGAGCCCGTAAGTGGGTGAGTAAAGTTCTTCCTTCCAACAGTTTCTCCGAGGTTGTGTCACATGACCTCGTCCGACTCCCTCCCGCACCGTGGACTTCCATCGCAACCGGCCACCGATGGATGGCGCAGTCGCCCATCACTCGGATCGAGTAGCTGCCCCAAATCATAATCCTTTGACCGGGCGCTGCTTCCTTCCCTCCTTCCCTTCTTTCTTCCTTTCTTATTCTCTTCTTCCCCCTGGTAGTCCCCCGACCAGCCAGCGCTTTGGTAAAGCCGCTCTTTTCACCGCGCATGACGCACTTTTGTGCCCCTCCACCGTTGGACGGCCTTTTCTCTCGACTAGGCGACCGGCGACCGGCGACGAGCGAAGCAACCAGGACGAAGAAGGGCCAAGGGATCGCTTCCGGTCAGGCCCCGCCCGACAGAGCGGCCCTGCCACAGGACACGACACGCCTACCGCTTCCCAACCGGTCAAACCACGTGCTTCGCCGAGGGCCCGAGCGCAACTGCATGGGGCAGTCGAAACCGAGTCGCAACCACGTCGGCCGGACTTGTAGAGCTGCCCCCACACGCAATCTCCTCCGCCTGCGGTGACCACAGTAATGAAATTACTGTGGTCAAGACATTGATTACTCCGTTTGCTCCCGCTGCAGTCGCTCGATAGCTCGAGGGCTGCGAGTTCATGAGCCTCCGTCGCCGATCCGCAAAGCGGTACAGTTTTGCAGCTTTCAGTTAGGCTTCCGGCGGTAACTCGACATGGCGGGGAGGTCGGGGTGGGGCCTACTCCTTCAGATGTAGGATCCGACGGTTCCGACGGTGGCTTGGAGATCCTCTGGCGGAATACAGCACCGTATGTATCCAACCGCAAGTAAGTGTCAGACCGAACTTCCGGCGGTTTGATGACGTGCGGGCATGAGCGGCCGTCCGATGCGCACCGTCTTCGAACCCCGGCCGGGGGGACGACGTCACGTCATGGACGATTCGTTCGCATGAACGTTAGGGAAGGACTGGACATGAGGGGTATGCAGATCGTCTGGTATCTTTCGCTTCGCTCCTGCCCAGCAGATTGCGGCGAGAGGCGGGGAGGAGGACCAGAACCTGTTCGGCCAACGAATACGCCTCGTACTTATGAACATCCCCCACTACTCCCAGCTCCCATTTCCCGCACAATCAGATGAGCTTAAGCTGATGGAATCATGCTGCTCGCAGAAGAGTGTAGCGATACAACGCGCTTCGTGATTTTGAGGTATATGCGTTATGAGCAGCAGCAGCAGCAGAAGAGATTTCTGTAAAGCTTTCTCCAGGATTCTCTGCCGAGTCTGCAATGTAGGCGAGCCCAGACGACATCCCGATAGTTATGGCAGTGTCTGTTCCCTAGCTCCGTTATACTGCACATTCTGATATACCGGCTGCCTTACGTCCCTAGGGAGGGACTCCTCACTCTAGAGACAGATCTACCTCCACTCTCGAGACTAATAGCACCATCATAGCGTATTTTCTATTTGAATCTTTTGGTTAATGAGCTTTGACTCACCGTTGCTCTTACTCCGAAGTTTTCATTGGCTGTCTCGGTACGTACAGTGAAGACCTTAAACTTCCTGCATGGAGACTGTTGGAACTGCAAATTATTGCCAGCCTAATCGGTCTCGGCCCTTCCACGTTCTCCAAAGCTGGGGGAATACGTAAACCACAGTAGCCGCCCGGTTGCTAAAACTATGTCGGAGCACAAGAGTGCTCCGACATAGTTTGCTTTGAGTGCCCGTGACTTCTCATAAGAGCACCGGAATTAGAATATCCCTCAATTTTAAAAAGCCAATATCATTGTTTATTCACATCAAGCATCAGGAGATAGTTATATGTCTTTTAAACGTTGCAACACATGTTACTTAATTTCCTCTGAACTATTTCGACCATGAAATATCTCGTCAGATACACGTAAACTCTGAGAAATAAATAACAATAAAATATCGTGTTACTTGACAATATTGGCACAAATATTGAACACTTTTCATTACATCATCTTTGTCTCGCTTAGTTGTTCGTGTTCTGATCAGTTCCCGGCTACCTGGGCTCCACTTTTTTTCATTTGATTATATGGACTTGAAAAGAATAACTTCATGTGTAGAGTCGGATGTTATTTTCTACAAAATACAATCGGAATATACTCTCAGAAAGACAATAATAAAACATACTATCTCAATAATATTTAGGTGTTATCAAGTGGAGAGGTAACATAGAAACATGACCCTTTGTAACCATCAACACTTAAAACAATTTGAAATATATAGATAGGGATAAATCTTTTGTCTTAAAATTTTTAGTCCAAAAAAGAATCTATTCTTTCTATGATGGTCCCCATAAAAAGAATGGAGATAAACATCAAAACCGATTATTCATTAAGATAATAAATTAATACGTAGTAATCTTTACTTCTTAAAAATGCCAATTTTTTTCAAATTAACTATGTCTAGGTTGTGAAGGAAAAGAACCAAGAGAAAATGAAAATGTTTAAATAAGAACCTTCAACAAGAACGTTTGATTGACTTGAACGAAGAAGGAATGATTGACTTTCAACTATATTCTTCGTTTTTCTTTCAGTTGTATCATCTAGGTTGTGAAGGAAAAGTACCAAGAGAAAATGAAAATGTTTAAATAAGAACCTTCAACAAGAACGTTTGATTGACTTGAACGAAGAAGGAATGATTGACTTTCAACTATATTCTTCGTTTTTCTTTGAGTTGCTTCATCTAGGTTGTGAAGGAAAAGTACCAAGAGAAAATGAAAATGTTTAAATAAGAACCTTCAACAAGCAGTTGCTGAAGATTAGAACTTCAAAACTTTAACTGAAACAAATAAGTTTGAGACTTCTGTTATAGCTCCTCTCATAAGGTTGCTCACATGCCATCTGTCACTTTGTATATTTTAAGACTGGAAAACCTTCATGAGATTCTTTCAGGATTCAGTAAACAATCACTTCCATCAAAGTCAATATTCAACCCTATTAACAAAAGTTAGCTACAACTTTCACTCTTATACTCCATATGACTTTCAATTTTAAATGAGAAAACTCATACAAGACGTAAAACTTTAAAAGTAGCTATTATAACTATCAAAGAATTTTATAACTCTCGATGAAAATATAATCAAAAAATATTGAGAAATACTCATGACTAGAAATCCAATTTTATTATTTCTAGATTACTGTAGAATTAGCAAATTTTTTCACGTGGATTTCAGATTTCAAGTTAACTCAATTTTCTTCTCTAAGATCATATAATAGAAAAAATAATTAATCTTCACAAATATATCATAACGTGGATAGGGAACTATTTTTTGAAAAAATAATCTTAAAAACTTATATAGAAATTTACTTGTTTTCTCAAGACATCTTTAGAGGTCACTTTGATTTTATCCTAGCTTGATCAGATTAATTTATTATGTTTTCTACAATGAAATATTACATCAGAGCTTTTGCTAATTCTCTTACATATTTCTAACTCAATAACCAAATAATTTTTTTCACATTTACAAGAATTTATAAATATCTTCATTAATTCTTAAATTTTTATTTCTATCACCTATAATTTATACTTTTTTCTGAAAAAAAATTTTGAAAATTGTAAGATTATAAAACACATATATCTAAAAAATTTCAAAAAGTTCATCAAGTGCTGGACAGATGAAGTTATGTTGGCTTGAACCATGGGTAGATGGAAGTCATGGCACGCCTTATATACTTGATTCATCAAAACAAAGTGTTGAGTAAAGACAAGACGAAAAAACAAAATACGTGTTTTGCAAAGTCAAGTTTCAACAAACCACCGGATCCATTATTCATTTTTAGATGAATAACTCGGCCAAAATAATCAAAATAATGACTACAGAGAGTTTGAAAATAAAGAGTTCGGCAAAGCAGTACGACAAAGCCCACTGAATATGGTCTCAATTTCAATTTAGTTTGCATCTCACTTTCATTGCTATTGTCACATTTACGTGTCTACGTCCCTAGTGCCTACGTTCCTAGTTCCTAGCTTCTTACCCTCTATAGAGTATGAATAGAATCGACTGCTTTTTCTAAGAGTTCGATACTTCTACAGAAAGGTTCCTCTAATATGCAAGACATGATTCGGATAATTGCACAAAAAGGTACCCAGATATTACTCTCGTAAATTTTGACGGTGAGAAACGTCTCGACATATCTCTTATCTCTGGTCAACGACGCCGAAACCCCGCTTTACAATGCGATACTAAATAGGCGCGTAAGACGAAGAACGCACCATCAAGTAACCTGAATAATCCCCTTTTTATTTATCCTTTTTATTATTATTTTCTTTTTCCTACATAGACTTAAAGCGCAAGAAAGGACATACCAAAACTACAGTAAAGGATGAATGTGCTTTTTGTTTACGATAGAGAAGGATGAATGTGCTTGTGT